CAGGGTCTTCCCAGGCGACCTGTTTGAAAACATTACGAAGTTGGAAGTTAAAGTTTTTTTTATGCTTTTCAGGTTGAGTTGCAGTCCGGGACCTTGGAGCGGCTTGGAGAAGAGTACCGCGGTTGAGTACCTGAACTTCCGAACTCCGAAAAGTTGCAGTGCCCGCCGCGGCCCGGGGGGGGGGGCGGGGGTAACCGTCCGATCACAGTTGAACCGGCGTACGGTACGGCCCAGTATTGAAAACCGTTGCAAGGTCAGTGATCAGAACTCGGAATCGGAAACTGAAAGCAGTTCGAGTCCGACAACTTGGCTTGCCAAAGACTGAGAGATCGACTCGGTAGCATTCCATGGCATTTTCTAATGCTCGCTTTTGATCATTTTCGAGCGGGGTACTTCAGCCCAGGATTTTTGAATGGTCGGCGCACTGAAAATTTGTACCAGAAACTTCGATAATGGTTGAAAGTATGTTTGAATCGGGGACCGTGTCGAGCAGTTTTAGGTTTACAAGTATTCTTGCTTCCTCCAAACAACAAGGTTTCAAACATTAAAACTATTTTTGACCTTACACGCTTTTACACGCCTGGGGGGTGCATATACAACCAAATTGCCTGCCCTCCCCCTTCCCCCATTGCTGCATCCGCACCCGCCGGCGCAGGCGGCGTTTGTTTGAATCCCAGATGGCTCTCAGCCAATGGCTCTTTCATCGTATTCAAGCTCCAGGCCATCCAAGGTTGGATCATGTGTGAATGTTTGTACTTTTTGCGGCATACTGCAAGACGACGTTTCAAACAGCTCGAGCTTGTTTTTCAAAGGAAGCTGTAGGAATCAGCATCGCCATGGATTCCAGAGCCTAGGGCTGTTTTCGAATCCATTTGATGCTCATTGCAAGATGGAGAATTGCTCGTTTTTGGTGATCAAGCATCCACAACCCTCTTTCGTATGATTGAGCTTCGAGCACATCTCTGACTGTAGAGTTGTTTGGTGTCAAGATTGTTTCTCGTAAAGGATCTCTCTGATTAGGCAATTGATTGTTGTTTTGATTGGCATTCTACAAGACCCATACTTCCTCCTCTCTGTGTCAACCAAGCACATAAGCATAAGGCATGTCAGTCGTGTAGGCAACTTGATTGCAAATAGATCGCAAGTGTAAGATCGATGAACTATTCAACGCCATGAATGCCGGATGTGAATGAACTTCCCTCAGGACTTCTCAGTATCGGAACCAGCGAGCTAAGACATAAGGTAGAGTCTCCATTGAATATCATTCCTGCGAATGTAATGTTTTTATCAGTTGTGGGGAAGAGAAGCATGGAGACAAGCGGGTGCCCAAGCGAATAAGAACATCTTGCGGATGTAGGTTTGGACAAAGACGGCGCCGATTCCGAGGTTGTGAAACAGGCAGCGAAAAGATGCTGAGGTTTTCGGAGTTCATAAACATGGCTTGTGACGAGCATGTCACACGTAAAGCGATGGAAAACAACAAACAAAAATTGTAAAGCAATCGAAAGCAACGAAAATCAATGGAAAACAACAAACAAAAATTCTTCTCAAAGGTCTCACTCCTTGACATCAACCACTGATCGAACATCTTTTTGACCTCGGTCATATCTCGACAAATCCGATTGTACTCCGCCGCTGAACAGAAAGTTGTTTGCGCCATCTTTTCAACGAGTGGTGCCGGTAGTTTGCAATCGAGAAGTGAGAGATTTCACAGTATTTATTATTTTCGATGTCGTCTTCATGAAAAAATATATACCCATGCACTCTGAAATTATCGTGGAAATCATCGTTGGCATGCTCCAACATGCAAGGAAAGCTGAAGAAACACATTTTTGGTATAGCATTTATTTCATCCGTATCCTTGTAAATTGATTGATAACAATCACGGTTTCCAACTTTGTTCAAAATTCTTTTCAGGGCCACACAGGGCACTCGATTAGTTATAATGGTTTCGTCTACATGTTCCAAGAGGACTCCATTGTACATGATGTACACTTCGACAACCTGTGCATCTGAGTGCAGCGATTTGATCATCCCCAGTCGATTCACTTCAACGCCCCTGTGATCTTCACACTGATATTGAACCCCTGTGCCAGGCTCAAGCATAATATTCAAATTACTGCCTGGCTTTTTCCAGTACATCCTGCGCAAGTCTCGATCATCAACTGACGTATGCAGGATCATTCGAAGCTTCAAATCTTCAGGTGTCTTTGACTCATCACAAGTCTCTTCCTGCTCCAAGAATGTATCGCAATCTTCCTGCCTTCGCCTTCTCTGAATTCCATTTGTTGCTGATACACGACGGTGAAGATTCATTTGTTTGGTGTCTATAACTGGAGCGCAAGGGAAACGGAAGCAACGGGGAGGGAGGGGAGCAGGGGGGAGGGAGGGAGCAGGGAGGAAGGGAGGGGAGCAGGGGGGAGGGAGGGAGGGAGAAGAGCAGGAAGGAGGAGGGGAGGGATACTTGCAATGGAGATCTCAGGATTTTTAATGAATTTTTATTTGCTCTTTGATCGGGGGCAAGGGGACCTGTGTTTCGGTGGCACCCTATAGACATGGGGTAGGTATCTATATAAAACAACCGGTGTAGAAAAAAAAGATTGCCGTTGCTAGCTGGCATACGACTCCTTGATTTGAAAACAAAAATACTTATTGGCTAGATTTACTACACTCGTCAATGGCTGACACTAATAAGATTTCATGAGCGTGTATCGAAATATACGAATAGCCCTACCCCCTCCATATCAGACAAACATACCGGTACACAGGGTAGAGAGCAGCCAAGAGGCGTGTAAGCCGGAACTCAAATGCTTAAAACAAATATAAAAGAGTACTGAGTGGTACAAATCATTCTGGTACAAAATTGACTAAAAACTGTATGCTTATGATCAAATTAACAGGTACAAGTGTTTGTTAAAAGGATATTAATTTATAATTGGGCATTAGTAAATGCCATGGAATGGCCTAATATCACACCGGGGCTCAGCCGACACTGCCCGGGCCGGCCCCGGCCGACTCAGTTCAACGCCGGTAGATCCCGGCCCAGAGTAGCACGCGTGCCCAGTGAGAACTTGAGAAACTTGAACCCAAGCATGATCCCGGCGACATGAGACGGCGGCGGCCTCCGTCCCGGACGTCACACATCATGCTACATGGCCGCCGCCCGGTTGAAACACGCCGTAAGAGTTGACGGTCTTGGTTTACGCCGGGGAGAGTTTTTGTTAACTCGGCGTTGTCCGATGATCGGATCAGTGACTGGCACGGCTGACTCGAGTGACATGCGCTCCATCAGCTGGCCGCCCGCGACGGCAGGCTTCCTGGCCGGGCCGAAGCCCGACGCCGTCCGCCGGCCCGGGGCGGCCCGGTCGCTGCCGCACACCGGCGGCCCGGCGGGCCCTACTTGAACTCGGCAGTCCATCACTAGTAGTACCGTGCCCGTGACTGTGACTCTGTGATACAGTGTTTCATTGCGCAACTGACAAACTTGAGAAAGAATAACCCTTAGCGAGCGAAAAACTACCGAGAAAAACCGAGACAACAGTGACAAGCGAATCTTAGGGCGTCGGATTTGTGAGGTCGACTCGTGACCATCAGTGACGTTACGAAGAATGGCAGCTATCGCATACGATAGCTGTCGACTGCCGATACCAACCCATTGATCTGCGAGGACGGAAGTCAATTGGCCGAGGAGGAGGGCAGGCTAGTAGATCTGATACCTTGCCCTTGTGCTGGAATGAGATGGAAAAGTCCAGGTCTCTATGATTGCGAGCGTTGGGCCTGCCCCGATAGTCAGTGATGCTGGTCTGACGGTTTCCCGGTACATGCTACCTCACAGACAAACTGCCTGTGACCGTCTCGTTTCTAGATACCACCAACTGAAGAGCGACGAACACGTCAGGTCAGAACGAGCAGCAGGATCGTAAGAAAGAACAGCGGGGGAGGAGCCGGGAGAGAGGAAGCGAGGAGGGGATGAGAAGAGAGAGGAGGAGGAGAGAAAGGAGGGGAGGAGAGGAGGAGGAGAGGAGAAGAAAGGGGAGGAAGAAGTGATGGTAGCGGAGGAGCAGGAGCAAGAGCAGGAGCAGGAGCAGGAGCAGGAGCAGGAGCAGGAGCAGGTGGAAGTGGTGGTGGGTGGATGAGGACGAGGAGCAGAGCTCTGGGGACTTGAAAGCTTCACCTCCTCGGAGAGGTAAAAGACGGACTGTCGCCAGTGTGTAGAAACGGCTCGGGGGGATGTTGAGAACCAGACCTGTTGAGAGGTCAGAACCAGCTGGTCGTTAAGTTTTGTGGGGACCGGGAAGTCGAGGGAAGTGAAGCCGATGTCGAAATAGACCACAAACGCCTGACGAGGCTTTAGCGGAGCGATCGAGACGGATTGGGAGAGGAGATGGGGGAGGAGGGGGAAGGGAAAGGAGATGGGGGAGGGGAGAGGGGAGAGGGGGCGAGGAAAGAGGGAGAGAGGGGGAAGAGGGGAAGTAAGGGAGAGGACGACAACGGGAACCAGTCAGTGGTTGCGGAAGTAGAAGAGGAGAGGAGAAGGCAAGGAGGAGATGAAAGGCAGGAGGGAAGCAGACCGTTAGGTAGTCATTCCTGGTGACGTTTAACCGGAAAGGTGACTGAGAGCAAGTCAGGTGGCGAAGGTTTGATCCAACAGGCTGCCAGCCACCTCAAAGGAGAGATCCTCCTTCTTGACAGTGTAGAGGTCAAAACTTCTCAACTGCAACGAGGATGCTCAGAGGTCTTTCATGGCAACCAGCGGTTGTGGCCTTGCCTGGCAGGGTTTTGTACAGATGCAGTCAGGGTTGACCACGTCGACAAGCGGCTCTGAAGCGGAAAAAATGAGAGGAGCACAACGCAGCAACGTTGCAGGGAGATTTTCAGAAGATACAAAGGATTGAAAGAAAGCAGAGAAAAGCAGAGTATCACAAAGTGGGACACAGACCCCAGCAACATGGAAGAAACCTCAAATCACGAAGGGAGAAGTGCATTGAAGTCATACAAGGGATAAAAAAGCAACACAAAGTGACACAACAAGAATCTGCAAACCTTGCAGCACCGACGACTGGATACACTTCATATTGAAGCCGTAGACATCCTTCCAGAAGTTGATCTTTTGGCTCTTCAGCTTCGTCAGGGCAAGAGGAGGAGAAAGAAAGTGAGCTGACTACCTTGTACTCCTTGTCCTCAATGCCACAGATCCACAGGACAGCCTTGACCAGACAACATGTCAGCTCAGTCAGGTCGCAGCATAGAGGAACTGACCCGGTCCGGGAGGATAAGGCCGTTGGGTGCCAACCACTTGTCTCGCGCATACAACACCTGGAGGGAAAGTGAGCACGAGGAGACGGCAGGAGGGAGGTCAAGATGAGGTATCCGATGCTAATGAGCAGGAGCAAGGGCAGAGGAGGGGAGGAGGGAGGCAAGAGGAGGAGAGGAGATGGGGCAGAGGAGAGGAGGGAGGCAAGAGGAGGAAAGGAGATGGAGCAGAGGAGAGGAGACGGGGAAGAAAGGGATCATCAAGGTGGAGGTGGAGCAAAAGAAACTCACGGAGTCCAGCATGGACTCGTAGAGCAGAGCGTATCCCATCCATTCTGATATGATGATGTCCACCTGACAAGACATGAGCTGTCTACCACTGCCGTCAGGTCTTCTTGGACCTTGACTGGCAATTCGATCTTCTCGATCTGGAGGAGGCAGCGTGAGATCGAGAGGGTTTCGAGACATTCTGATCACCATCCCGTGGATCAAGGTAATCTTGTCTTGAAACTTGTTCAGCTCAACAATCTCCTGCAAGGAAACATGAGTAAGAAACAAGGGACAAGGCAGGGAAGAAAAGACAGGGATGGGAATTAAGAGGAGGACAATGAAGGGAAGAAAGCGAGGGAGCAAGTCGGTAAAAGGAAGACTGAAAGCGAACCTTGGCCATGTAAAAGATGGATGAGCAGTCCACCGCATACACGTGTTTCGCCCCTGCTCGCACCGCAAACATGCTCAAGATGCCGGTTCCACAACCCACGTCGAGGACAACCTGCAAACAACGATTCATCATTGTCCTCCTGCTCCTGCTCCTGCCCCTACTGCCCCCCCTCCCCCTCCCCGTCCCCCAGCCAGCCCCTCCTCCCCTCCCCTTGCCCTTTCTCCTCTCATCCTCATCTCGTGATATTGCAAAGATTCTCACTTTTCCCTCAAAAACTTTTCTGTTCCTCTCGATCGCCTCCTGGTAGCTCCCAGTCCTGACCTGCCAATTCAGCAAGTCACCATTGATCCTGACATGGCCAAGTAGACAAGCATACCGAATCTTTGATCATCTGCTCATGAATGCCGAAGTGAGCGTAGGAATCGAAGTAATAGTCCTTGGAAGTAATGTCCTCCGGTTTGACCTGCTGCATGTTAAATTCCTCCCCGCCCCCAAACCTTCTTCGCTCCCCAACCTTCTTCGCTCCCCTTTCACCCCTCTCCCTGCTCTCCTCCCCCCTCCCCATCCTCTACATGACATACTGTCCCAAAGTTCCATCCCCACCGCTTTCCTCTCCTCCCTCTCTCCTACCCCCCCCCCCCCTTTCCTGCCTCCACCTTCCCAGTCCCCCAGTATCTCTATGCCTTGTCGTCTCTCACCTGTCGAAGTTGTCCGACCACATCGCCCTTGGTCACTTCTGACAGAGCGAGGAGATGAGGAGGAGCAGACGCCTTGCCCTGCATCGGGGTCGCATCACAACTTTCACTCAGTCCTCCTCCCAACCTGCGTCGGCTTTCCTTGAGCCGCATCATGCTGTTCTCCACGCCCTTGCGGCCTCTGCAGCGATGTGATGAGGATGGGGGTCAAGGAAGAGGACAGGGCACCTTCACAAACTCTTGCTTCGGAGCATGCTCGTCTGGTTTAACAGCATGCGACCCGTTCTGCTGCAGCTAATCACATGGAGAGAGGAGGAGGGGATATTTTTCACCTGCTGGTTTTTCATCACAAAGTTCTCCATCCCTTTCTGTATGGCAAGGCAGAGGTCCGAGGGACCCGATGATGGCGGGGGAGCATGAGCGATGCCGGGGCTCGATGTCTTGCCCCCTCGCAGTCTCTGCCTCCCTTGCTCCGATCCAAGACCGTCTGGTCGTCAGTTCAGCCGCAGAGAAAAAGGATGATAAGTCAGCAGCAGAGCATGTTGTGAAGAGTTTGCTACAGAACGAGCACCCAATCATTGAGATATCAAGGCAAGATAACTATGAGCATAGTTGAATCAGAGACACATTGAAGATTGACGGAATGGAGCGGCAACAAAGAAATGGCACAGTGGATGGGACGCAAGGGGGGCAAGGACAGGAGCGGAGCAAGAAGCTACGAAGAGAGAGGAAGCAGGTGGAGGGAAAGAGTTTGTGGTGGAGGAGAAGCATGTTTGAAATCGTAGATCTGCTGCTGTACGCGGACATGGCGCGGCATGTTTCACCTCCGTTCTGCATTTTCGCACGGGCTGCCTAAGAGCTGGGTGGGGGTGCATCGAAAACCCGTATCACCGGTACTTTTGTGTGTTTTGTCAAGGGTACTCAATTAAATAGTGGGGTGATATTTCAAGGGTGGTCCGATGTGACTACCATATGGCAGCTCGATATAGGGGGTGGGTAGTACCCCTACCCCTCAATTTCTGGGTGGACTGACCGGTGAAGGAAAGGTTCAATGCGGCCGAACATGCGGCATTTGATTGCGATCCTATGGGCAGGGAGCGCGATAGGGGGAGCCAAGGGAGGGAAGAAGATGGCCAGAGCATGCTCGGTAGATGCAGTTCTCCTCCCTTTCCTCTCCTCTGCCATGCCAGCAAGAGCTGTATCCTCTGCTTCTCTATCCCTCTGGACAGGTCTCCAGCAGGCATCCAGCTCGACGCGTTTGGAAAGGTTTCTTCCTTCAGCGTCATCAAGAGGCGTCGGTCTAGCATTCATGGCCTCGTTTCCTCCATGCTTCCACCGATTCCTACAACCACAGTCCCTTGTGCAAGGGGCCATCCCTCTTTGCGGGAGGAATGGGCGCAACTTGATTGGACATGGTTCAGACCGCGCGCGATGGCGAAGCTTGACGGGAGGAGCGATGAAGGTTCACGCTAAGTCCTCGCAGGGAGGGGATAGCAAACATCTCATCGTAGTGGGAGGTGGGCCCGCAGGTTTCATGGCAGCCATCGAGGCTGCTCGCCGGGCGAAGGAGGGAGGGGCGAAACTCGATGTTACTGTCTTGGAGGCGACGTCCAAGGTGCTGGGGAAGGTGAAGATCAGCGGAGGAGGAAGATGCAACGTCATGCACGACTATCGCAAGACGACCAAGCTGATCTCTGAGGTGATGACTTCCTGTGGTTTCTTGTCTCTCGGGCTGACATGCGCATGGATACGGCAGGGGTACCCGCGGGGTCAGAAACCTCTGCTGGGCCCTCTGAGCAGATTCGGACCTCTAGATACCCTCGAGTGGTTCAAGAAAGAGGTGGAGGGAGGGAGGGAGTGGCAAGGAGAGGGGAGGGGAAGGGAGGAGATGGGGAAGAGAGAGGGGAGAGACTTGAGGGGACGGGACGGGACGGGACGGGAGGAGAATGGTAACAGGGAAAGGAGAAAGGGGTCAGGAGGAGCAGAGGGGGGATCGGTGTGAGAGTGGATCAAGTATAGCGGGAGAAGAAGCCTTTGCAGCGAATCGGCTTGATGACAGACTTTTGTAGGGGGTAGAGCTGAAAATTGAAGACGACGGGAGGATGTTTCCAATCACAGACAACTCTCAGGTCATGTAAACTCGCCCCCTCCTCCTCTGCAACTTCATGTTTCTCTCCTCTCTCACTTTCTCCCCTCCAATTCCTTTAATTGTTCCCTCCTCTGCCCCAGCCTCCTCTCTTCTTTTCTCATCTCTTGTATTCTCCTCCTCCTCCTCCTCCTCCCACCATCTCGTAGAGTTTTCTTTGATCGCACCTTCGTTATCCCTTCCCCTCACGCCAAAACTGACGAGGAGATTCTGACGAGAGGATACAGACCATCATCGACGCACTGTGTGGAGCAGCAGAACGAGCTGATGTCAAGGTCCACACCAAGACGAGGGTCGACGACGTGAAGCTTGTCCGAGACAAAGAGCAGGAGGGAATCTCGTTCGAAATCTCGTGCAGCGTTCGTGACGGCGACCCCAAGACTTTCCGTGGAGATTTTGTTGTTCTGTCTCCAGGTCAGTGGGAGGTTCTTCATAACTCGTGTTCCCTCCCGCCTTAAGAATGCTTCCGTCTGTTCCTGCTTTACCACTACTATCACCTTCTGCTCCTGCTCCTGCTCCTGCTCCTGCTCCTGCTGCTCCTGCTGCTCCTCACTTGTCCTCCTCCTCAAGCATCACAATATCTGACTTTCTCTACCCCTGACTGTCGTCCTTGTCTCCTCTCTCGCTCTTCGCCAGGTTCATCTCGTCTTGCCTACGCGTGGGCCACAAAGTTGGGCCACAAGCTGGAGGATCCAGTGCCGAGGTAGAGGAGGAGACGAAGGACGGACAGACGAGCAGGGAGGGGAGGGGAGGGAAAGGGGGAGAGAGTGGCAGAAAAGGATAAGGAGGAAGGGGAGGAAAGGAGAGGAATGAAGGGGATGGAAGAAAATTATGCAAGGGAGGAGGAGGTTGGAGATTTTGGATATTCAAAGAGCTGATTCTTGGCGTCAGTCTTTTCACCTTTAACATCAAACAGAAAGTTCTCGACGGTCTCGCGGGACTGGCAGTGCAGGTGACTAGCTGATGTCCGAGAAAGAGGAGAGGGGAGGAGGGAGAGGGAGAGGATGGGAACAGGGAAAGAGAGAGGAAGAGCGAGAGGGTCAGGGTCATTGTCGGGGTCAGGGTCAGGGAGGTAACAAAAGCGCAGGATGCGATTGCATCGTTGAATAAACTTCCGGCGTCGAAAGGGTCCAAGCAACGTCTTAGGTGAGCAGTAGGTGGTAGGCAAGGGAGGGAGGAAAGGAGCGAAGGAGAAAACGGTAGAGTTGGTGGTGTGGGAAGGAGGAAGGAAAGGACCCAAAGGAGATGAGGTTGTGTAGCAGGCGGTAGAGGAGGGAGGAGTGTGGTGGACATGAGAAAGGAAAAGGCGTGGTGCTCTAGGAAGGGGAAGGAGCACCAGGGAGGGAGGGAGGAGGTGTGGATGACGGTTGTTTACAGTCAGAGGGGCCCTGTCCTCATCACCCACACCGGGTTGTCTGGTCCTGCTATCCTGCGTCTGTCTGCCTTCGGTCTCTTCCAGTTCCTCCTCCTCTCTTTGCCTCTTTGTCTTGTTGTTTTGCATTTACTCTTGCTCTCCTGCTCGTCCTGCTCCTCCCGCTCCTCCCGCTCTGTTGGTCCTGCTCCTCCACTTCTACACTTGTATCCATATCGTCCTCGTTTTCTTCATCCTTCATGAATACCCTCCATTGCCGTGCTGAACTCGATTCTCTCCTACTTCTGCCCTCTCTGTCACTTTGCTTTCAATTCTTAGAAGCTTCTGATTCAGTTCGCAACAGCGGCGCGCGAGTTGCACGATGTCAACTACAAGGCAAGAAATCGCGGAGAACGCTGAGCGAATACCCGCTCCTCCTTGCCCCCTTCCTTTTCCCTCTCATCGTTTGTTTCTATCTCTTCTCCCCTCCTCCCTTTCCCCTTTCATCCTTTCTCACTCGATCCCTCTCTCCTAATTTCCACTCTCCTTCTGAGCCTTTGCTACAGGCCCTTCTGACCATCAACTGGTTACCCGCCATAGACACTGGCTGGAGGTCTGTTCTCTCATCCTTATTCTTCTCCTCTTTCCCCCTCCCTCCCCTTTTCAACCATGTCCTGCCCTCTTTCCCCCTTCCCCTTCCCCTTCCCCTTCCCCTCCCCACCCTCCCTCCCTCCTGCCCTCCTCACCCCTTCCTCCACCCCCCTCCCTCCTGCGCTGCGCAGTGTTCCCTCTTTCCCCAGCCCTGTTTTATCCTGAATTGCTCGTTCACTTAGTTTGGTTTCTTCTCCCTCCCTCTCCTCGTCTCTTCCTTCACTCTTCTCACTGCCTGGCACCAGGGAGTCTTCGAGGAGCTCCAGCTCTTGAAGGTTGCGAATGCCGCAAAGGTGAAGACGCACTTTTCTTTCTCACGCTCCGTTGGCTCAAACTTTGACACTCGACCCTCCTCTCTCGCTCCCCTCCCTTCTCGCCCCACCGTCATCCTTCACCTTATCATCCCTCCTCCCTCTCCTTGCGCTAGGTTCGTTGCTCCCTTTGTGGTACCTCTCCCTTCTTCTTTCACCCGACTCCCTGCTCGCACACAACTGACTCGACACTCTGCTCCTTGTAGGCCATTGCTGGGTCGTCCAGCCCGACGTTGAATCTTCCAAGGAGGCTCTGGAAGGTTTCAATTCTCTCCTTCTCTGCTTCTCTCCTTCTCCTTCTCCTTCCCTTGACTCCTCTGCCCTTCTGCCGTCCCATCCATCCCCCTCTGGTGTCTTGCACTCCACTTACCTCGTCGTGCCCCCCTCCTCGTCCTCTGGAACTTCTTCCTCTCCCCACCAGCCCCCCAAGGCTCCCTTCCTATTTCTTCTTCTTTTCCTCTCCCCTCGCCGCTCTCGCTCTCCTCCCCCGCTCAGCCCGACGTCAGGCTCTCGTTGAGGACGTCGGCATTACAGAGGACAAACGCTGGGCAGGCACCAAGACCGCAGAGTTGAGGTTTGACAAGCCGTTGACACCTTGACGTGCCGCTGACACGTCGGCATGCAGGAAGCTAGCAGAGAGGATCGCGCGGTGCGAGCTGCAGGTGGGATGGACGAGTTTGGCTGTCCCGCAAACTTACCAGCTGGGGAAGGTCGAAGGCAAGGGGGCTTTCAAAGAAGAGTTCGTAACAGCAGGCGGCGTCCCACTGCCTGGTAAGCTGGTAACCAGCTGGGCTTGTTGTCTGATATCCAAGCAAGAGGTTGACATGACCAAGATGGAGAGCAAGGTGGTCCCCGGGCTTTTCTTTGCTGGGGAGGTGAGAAACTGTTTTCACCCTCTCCCAGCTTGTTACCAGCTCCCCCCCTTCCTGGTCTTCCTTGTTCTCGCATCTCTCCTCCCTCGCGCGAAACTCGCCCAGCTCGTGATCCGGCTGACGATCTCTTTTCAGCTCCTCGACATCGACGGCATCACAGGTCGGTCGCAAGGCTGTGCAGCTAACGATGACGATGAGTAGGAGGATACAACTTGCAGAGCGCGTGGACCACAGGGCATGCGGCTGGTAGGAGAAGAGGGAGGGGGGCGATCGATGGACGAGAATGGCAGGGTGAACGTAGAAGGGAGTATTGGTGACGAGGAGGGAGGGAGGGGGAGAGAGGAGGGAGAATCAACATGATTTGGTTCCTGCAGGGTGCGCCATAGCTGAAAGCTGCATGAAGCGATGATCTACGATGAAACGTGGAAGTGATGCTGCGAGTCAGGAAGAGGAGGGAGAAGGGAGACTGAGAGAGAAGGGAGGAGGGAGGAGGGGAGACTGAGGGAGGGGGACTAACGAAGGGTTACTGAGGGAGCAGAGAGGCGAGAATAATGCAGGAGGTGGAAGAATGTACAATAACAAACTAGCGAGTGATCTCCACTGGGAGGTAAACGAGTTAAACTTTGATGGGAGTGCAGTCGAGCCCATGGGAGCACTGGCGGCGAGGTCAGTGACAGTCGGTTTGTGAGTGCGAGACAGTAGAGGGAAGAGGTGGGATTTCGATCAGTCTGGATGATGGGGAGAGCATTGTAAGAGAAGGGAAGGTAAGCGTAAGAGAAGTTCAGGTGGCAGGACGTGGAGAAGGAGACGGTTGAGGACGAGGAGGAAGGACGAGGACGAGGAAGGCAACGGGAAGACGCAGGAAGGCGAGGGCGAGGGCGAGGTGGAGGAGGAGGAAGACAACGGGGGTACACCTGTACCCCACACACGGGGGGGATGATGCAGAGCTGTTGTCCCTGTACGAGCTCCTGCGGCAACGATGAGCCAGAGAGAAGAGAAGCCAAGGAGCCGCATGGGACGAGCTGGGAAGGTGCTGCGGAGGAGCTCGAAGGGGAGGAGAAGGGAGGGGGGGGCACCTGAGAGGGCTGGAAGTCAGGGTTGACGGTGAGGAACTGCTTCTCGGTAATGAGGAAACGGCTGTAGAGCCCGGAGAGCGTGTCCCCCTGCCCCGCAAAGTGAGCGAGCGAGCTTGAAGATAGCTTGGAAGATAGCTGGGGAGGGAGCAGCTCAAGTACCGGCTGAACCTCGTACTGGACACCGAGGTGTATCAGCTGACCCCTCGGCAGGTAGTCCGGGTTCTTGACCACGGGATTGAGGGTGTAGAGGTGCAGCCAGTCGGTGTCGAGCTGAGCAAGGGAGGGTCAAAAGTGTTATAAACTGGGAGAGGAGCGTCACCGCAATGGCGAGCTTCTGGATGGTATCTCCCTCTTCCGCGCAGTAGCTGCACTTTTGGACCTGCGGAGAGGAGAGGAGAGGAGAGGAGAGGAGAGGAGAGGAGAGGAGAGGAGAGGAGAGGAGAGGAGAGGAGAGGAGAGGAGAGGAGAGGAGAGGAGAGGAGAGGAGAGGAGAGAGGAGAGGAGAGAAGAGGAGAGGAGAAATCAAGCTTCAGGGGATGCAAGTGTAGCACAAATTTTAGAGCCTCACAATGGCTGAGTAGCACTGAACCGCTCGAAACCCAAAGGCCGATGCCTGGAAAGCGGATACACTCAGACCCACAATCTCCTCCCTGCCTCTTCCATCCTCGCTCCTCGCTCCTTCTCGCTCCATCCTTCCTCTTCCTCTTTCCCGCCCTCTTAAGTCTGGACTCCACCTCTTCTCACCTCGAAGCAGAACCTGTAGGGCGCTGCCATCTCCTGGCTCCTGCATCGATCGGTCATCAGCGGGCGCGAGCAGGAAGAACCTCTCACCATGCTGGAGTCCACACGAAGTCCACAGCACGCATGCTGGGATCTGTTGAGGAGGCACCTGCGGAGGAGGGAAGGAAAGGGAAGGGAGGAAAGCAGAGAGCGGGAGGAAGAGGAAGAGGAAGAGGAAGAGGAAGAGGAAGAGGAAGAGGAAGAGGAAGAGGGCAGAAATCAGACAAGAGTTTATTTTCCTCCTTCCCGTCGTCAACTCACCGAGCTGGACGTCATTGACCTGAGCCTTGCCGATGATAATCCTCTTGTCCTCGGGGGACGGGAAGCCGATGGGTATGCCTGAGATGGCATCAGCTGCTTCCCAGTGATTCCTCTTGCATGCCTGTCGGGCTAGGAGGAAAGCTTCCAGCTACGACGGGTTTGATCTGGACAAAGTTCGACCCACAACCTGAGGTGGCATGCGTGAGGAAGAGGAGGAGAGGAAGAAGAGCAGAGTAGGAAGAAGAAGAGGGGAGAAAGACGAAGAGAACAGGAGGAAGAACAAGAGCAAAGGAACACAGTGGTGCTGCAGGCTGACATGAAAAAGTGGTGGTGGAGAACAGAGAAGAGGAGGAGATGGTGGGAGATACACATGAGGGTCAGGAACAGAGATGTAGTGGATCAGGTTCATCAGATGTCAAAATGACATGCGAACAAGGGAAGCACACGAACAAAGAGGAATCACCTCCGAGAGGATCGCTGTTGGTCAAATTCGCGTAGACCCTATGAGAATGCTCGTGAGGAAGGAGGATTGAGTAGTGGCCACACACCTGAACGACGATTGGCAACCGATGTGAAACAGAAACGAAGTTTGCGCTGTGACAAGCAAGTGAATGGAGGGAAAAGATTCACAGGTACATAGGCACGGGGAAAAACGACAACTCAAATGGAAAGATACATGAAGAGAGAGCATTGAAAGAGATACACAACAAAGAGATCGGCTGTCACAGATCCAAACATTTCCTTTCTATCAACCATGTCCCCGCCTGCCTCCCTGCCTGCCTTCCTGCCTCATCTAACGTCGCAGGCGCTTACCTACGCTCTGGAACGAGACCTTGGGTTCTACGACAGTGACTTGTATCGGAAAGTAGCGGCTGAGGCAACTAAGTCAACAGAACAAACACCAACTCCTTCGCCACTGACCTCGTCACATTCCATTGAGATCCGTTTTGAACGACCCAAAAGATTTCTGATTCACATGTCACCCTCATGCGTTCCATGTCATCTCCTCCGCTCACCCGCTTTATACGTCTGGCCCACTTGACTGGCAGTCGGCTGATACTCGTACTTGAGCCCTCCCTGGTGGCCGCGGTGAGTAGGGAGAAGAGGAAACATGGAGGAGATTTGTGTGTGGAGGGGAGGGAAGAGGTTGGGGGGGGGGGGGGGGGGGGAAGGAGGAACTGAACCGAGGAGGAGGAAAGGGCTCATCGAGCAAGGATGCGAGCATAGTGAAGTCACCTGGCAGGCCTGGAAAGGAAGGTTGCTGTCGTAACGGACAGTGTTGCCCAGGCAGGTCAGCTTGAACTCACTGTGAAGGAGAACAAGGCTGTCAGTAGAACCTTCATGACATGAACTAGCGATGGTTCTCACTATGGCAGAGAAACTTGCGATATCCATGCCACCGAGAGCCCAGGATAGGACGCTGGAAGAACATAACTTCAGCCTCCCCCCTCCCCGCCAATCGCCATGTTTGTCTTCACCAATATTTTGAATAGTAGCTGATGCGGTGCCGGTGAAGTTACAACCAGACTGTGTCAGGCGTCACTTGCTGGAGTTGTGCAGGAGAACCCTCACCAGGACTTGAGCTGGCTGTACAGGATCGACTACAATCTCGACTGCGCACGTTGGGACAAGCAGTGCGAGAAGAGTGACAAACAACAGCGATGACATGCTAACACAACCATCACCAGGGCATCATGAGACCATTTCAAGTTACCTCGCGCTCCCGTGCATTCTCTTTCTCATATCATGCCCCCCGACTCATCGTCTACACAAGAAAGTTTCAGTCCTTGAGCATGACAGGAATTTTTGCGATTTTCTCCCCTCCACTGCGACCAAAGATAGATGTTGAGATCTCATAGTCTCTCCAGCATTATCTCCTGCTTCCCCTCCCTCCCCTCCCTCCCCTCCCTCCCCTCCCTCTCGTCCCTCTGCTCCCTCCTATCCCTCCTATCCCTCCTCTCCCTCCTCTCCCTCCTCTCCCTCCGCTCCCTCCCCTACACCATCTGTTCTTTCAACCATTGCGCATTGGACTTCAAGGGACCGGTACATCCTTCTGAAGTATAGTAGGTAGGGGTACTCATGGCTCTTGGGGTGGTAGGGTAGTATTGAGTAAACTTTAGGTCAAGTATGTTGTAGTCCGCGAATGATGGTGTACCATGACACTACCCCACCC